GGGGGGGGGGCTGCGATGGTGGAAGCGTCGAGGGTTGGGCTGCGGGCCAGTCGCGCGCCCGTCGATAAAGGAGACGAGCAGCTCCTGTGGACATGTCTCGGACATGTCATGGACGTGTCACGGACATGTCCGTCGACAAAGGCGACGAGCAGCTCCTGCCACAGCGCGGTCCACCTGGCCGTCGCCGCGGCGCCCGCGGCCACGGCGTGGTCCGTGAGAGTGGCAAGCGCGCCCTTCGCGTCGCCCGCCGCGAACGCCCTAGCCGCCTTGTCGTCGGCGTCCACCAGCGCCGCGGTGAGCGCGGCGTCCAGCTCCGCGCGTGCCTTGCGGACAAAACGTCTTCCAATCTCGGCCAATCTCGGCCAATCTCGGCCAATCTCGGCCAATCTCGGCTCATCTCGCGCGCCTTCCGGACGAGCGGCGCCGCGCGGTCTGCCTTGGCATAGACCTATGGAGGGGGACGGGTCCATGCAGAGAGTCGGCCAGACTCGAGGCTGAAGACGCTCGTCGCCGGCTAAGCTTGACCTGGTCAGCCACCTGTACAGCGCGCGCCCGCGTGAGAAGAGAGAGAGGACCCGCAGCCGCGGGCTGGAGGGGAGGAAGTGCATCGGAGGCGTGTCTGGGAGGCGGGGCGTGTCTGCGACACCAAGTTCGCGAGCCACCACGCCGAATGCAGCGAGAACTCGCGCACGTTGCCTTGCAGCCCGTGGGCACGGCGGCAGGCGGCCCGCGCCGTGCAGTCTGCGTCGTCGTACGAACTGTGCACCTATCTTCCCATATCTCCCCATATCTCCCCATGTCTCGTGCAGTCTTGCGTCGTCGTACACGAAGGGTGCACCGCCGACGCGCCGCCGTGCAGCGGGATCTTTGGAGCCCACGTGTGGTCGTCGGCGCCCCACCTACACACGGCGAGATTGCGCGAGATTGCGGGGAGGTTGCAGCAGATTGCAAGTTTGGTCGTCGGCACCCCACCACTGCAGCGCGCCCATCGGCTTTGGCACGCCGCGGCGCAGCTGCGCGACCCAGTGCCACGCCGTGTACTGCGTGCCGACCACCCGCTCGTTGACGTACCTGGGCGCGCAGATCGAGGTGTGGCGAGGCGGGGGTGTCTCCCCACATCTCCCCACATCTCCCCACATCTCCCCACATCTCCCCACATCTCCCCATCTCCCCACATCTCCCCACATCTCGTCGACGCACGTCTTCCCCTCGTACTCCCACGTCAGCCCGTTCCAGCGGTACGGGGAGTGCTCTGCGCCCGCCCCCACGTCGGCGTAGGGGGAGAGCCACGAGTCCTCGTAGTGCAGCGAGAGGAGGCTGTGAACCTGCAGCGGCGCCCACGAACAGCCGCGTCGTGGATCAGCTGTGGTGGATCAGCTGCGCGGATCGGGCGGCCGGGGGGCCCGGGTTTTTTTTTCTTTTCCTTTCCTTCCCCCCCCCCCCCCCCCCCCCCCCTTACAAACTCTGGGCTGGGTTGCGCGCGCGCGCTGCAGCGCAGATGCACTTTCGGTCGAGTAGTGCAGTGAGAGAGGCGGCGAGGCGAGCTAGTGCGGCGATGCCAGCACCTGCGCGCGCGTCAGCTTGGCCTTTGGCTTGACAAAGAGGGGCATGCGGTTCGTCAGGTTCCGCCCCTGAGCGTAGTCGAGGTGCGCGGCCGCGTCGAAGCTCGCCGGGTCGGCCACGGCGCTGAAGACGGACCACACGCGCGCCTCGCAGAAGCGTGCGCCCTCAAACGTGACCGGGTCAAAGACGTCCGAGAAGGAGAAGGAGGGGTCGTCCGCCTCGCCGTGGAAGTAGCCGTGCGCGATGGCAAAGCTGACGACGTCCGGCGCCATCAGGCAGGCCTTCTCGTCGTCGCACGGCAGGAACCGCGTGATGCGCGCCTGGTTGGCGTGCGCCATGATGTGCCCCTCCGGCACGCGCAGCGCCACCCAGAGTGCGCCCTTCTCAAACCCGCCCTTGCCGATCAGCTCCATGTACCACGCCTCGCCGGTCGTCGCGTCGGAGAGAGAGAAGCCCTCCATGTCACTCGCGTAGCCGTACGCTGCGGTGAGCGCGTGCATCACCTTGATCGCCTCGCGGGCAGTGGCCGCGCGCTGCAGCGTGATGTAGATTAGCTGCCCGTAGTCGAGAATCGTGCCGTTCCGCCAGTCCTTGCCCACGTTGGACAGCTCCGCCAGCCCGCCCAGGGTGGTCTCTCCGATTACGAGCCCCTGGCAGTTTGCGTTGCCGATGACGTTGTACGTCTCGGCCGCCTCGGGTATCTCGCCCAGCTTGATGCCCAAGTCCCAGGAGAACACCTCGCGCACAGCGCCCTTTGCGTGGTGTCCGTGCGGCCAGTGCGAGACTGCGCCGTGCAGCGCCGCGCTGTCGGCGTTATAGCCCACCATCGGGTTGCCATCGGCGGAGGCGCCGCCAGTGACGATGATGTTGCTGCAGGCGCGCGCCGTGCCGAAGAGGAGCGGGAGGAGGAGGCGAATGGACATCACAACGGGAAGTTGTCGATATCGGTCGGCCGTCAATCGAGAGCGACGGCTTTTAGCGGCAGGGTGGTCGCCACCCCGAATGCTTCTCGCGCCGCGGCCCACAAGAAAAAAGTTTTCCCGTCGGATGCGGCGTGGCGTTGAGCGGTGGGGGCCCCTCTGCGCCGGGAGGCGTTTTCGGAGGCTAAGACCTAGGACGCAAGCGTCCGTCGCCCCTTTCAAACTCGGGGCGGCCCACTCCGCTAGCTACGCTCCGTCCTCCGACCCGAATTTGGAGGGCCTAAAAGTTTAAGGTGTTGCTGCGCAAAAGGGGTCGGACACAGGGCGCAGCTCAACGCCGCGCGCCTCCTCGGCGACGAGGCGCTCATCCCTTACCCCCACGGTACCCGAACCCATCCCCTCCCCCCACGGTACCCGAACCCCCCCCCTACAGGTCGAGGCCCGGCTCGGCGGGCACAGAGGCGTGCGCGCCGAGAGGAGAGCCGTCATCACACAAAAACACAACCCCGGGCCTCGAGATCGCTCGACAGCACACTGACAGTCAGACGCGCAACACGGGGTCCCAGGGGAGGCGAGCCAAAACCTCAGCGGCCTCTCCTCCGCGCCCCGCAGGTCGCGGTCGCGTCGCCTCCCGTCGCCGGCCACCCGGCCCTCGCCTCCCGCCGCCTCACGCTCGAGACGTCGCCCAAGGCGACCAGCGACGTGGGGCTCGGGACCAGCAGGTAGGCTCTGCTGTGTCCGAGGGGCGGCAGGGCGCGGGCGGGCAGCTGTGTTGGGAAGGGGGGGGGGGGGGGGGGGTAAGAGTCGGGTCAGCCCGGCCGAAAAGGCGCGCGCGAAGCCACGAACACCGCCGGGTCACACCTCTAGTTTTGGGGGCCACGGTTCGTGTAGAGGGAGGACAGGTTGAGACTGAGAGTCCCTTTAGAGACCAGTTTTGCTTTTACCTTTTGGGGCTCTTGTTAGTGTGAGCTCGTGTGTACAGTCATGACTCCAAGTGGGATCTGCATCTGGGAAGTGCTCGAGAGCGCACGCTTTACGAGTGTTCTACGTAACCGGTCTGGCTATATATACGGGGTGTGGACCCTGAGTTGACCGGGGGTTGTGCGCCGGGCCCTCCTGCTCGGCTCCAGCCAGTAGACAAGTCTTGTCATCAACCAACAGAGTAGAAGGATCTGACCTCGGGGCCGATGTGACCAAGCGCTGGTAGCGTGGTTTTACCTCACACCCATGGTCTCACAGTGTGCCGGCAGTCGCCGAGCAGTGTCGCTCACACAAGCCGCAGCACAAGTGACTGAGGGCCAGTGAGGGCGAGCCCATCGCTGTCACAGCTGTGGCAGCCGCACAGTAGGCTGTGTCAACTGTGCAGAGTGTGTGAGCAGCAGAGGAGCTGCTCTCCAGGCTTCAGGCGCAACGCAAGCCGCAGAGTCGACCTTCCATCTGCGCGATCCACCATCCGCGCCGTGGTGGCTCCAGCGCGCTTCCTTACCCTACGACGCAAAGCCACATGAACTGGTTCGCCGAGTCTGGCGGCCGGGAGACATCCGTTCATTAGGGCATAGCAAATCGCTCTCTGCTACCACGTTGCGTCCGGTTTCGCGTCACGGTGGGAAAGAATTCGTTTGGAGAAACAAGAGAACACGATCAACGCAGTACCAAAACACGCACGCGGATTCAGAGAAGACACAACACCTAGGCCACTCTCAGTCTCCCTCCCTCCCTTGAGTCCATTGTTCACACCACACAAATTACACTTCACACTGCTCGTCCGGGGGAGTGCACGCAATGCGCTCGCCGGACTAAGTTAGTGCGCGTAGTGTCCCGGACACAACGACAGAGACGAAACGACAACAACCCCCCCCACCGACAATCCGACAACACGGTATCAAATGGTGACGGTCAATCTCGAGTTCCCGTGCCAGACCTTCTCATTGGTCCGGCGCAGATACACAACATGCGTCACGGGTGGCACCCTCGCTTAGTTCGTCGTCTTCTTCTTCTTGAAAGCGGTCTTCAGGACGTTGCGCAGGCTCGTCCGCACGGCGGACTCCGGCTCGCCAAGCGTCTCCACGAGCGCGCTGCTGACGAGTCCCACCGCGGCACAGGCGGACCACCACTCGGACGCGGCGCCTCATAAAACACCTTGTGAAGTAGCACTTCAGCGCGGCCGAGGCAGTGCTCTCCGCGTCCTTCGCCGCATCAACGTCCTCATCCGTTCTCGCCGCATTCAACGCTGCCGTCGCGGCGGACAGCTCAGCAGTTGCCTGCTGCGCTCGACTTCGAAGCCCTTCGACTTCCGCCGCCAGCTGCACGTGCAGGCCGTCCCGCTCGAGCGCGCCGCTCCTAGCGTGGCGCGCGCGCGAAGCAGCAGATCGAGCACACAATGCCAGTGTCTGGAGTGGTGCTTCGACGCCCGCAGCTCAAGCACCGCCAAAGGGCAGACGCTCGCGGCCTTGCAGAGCCTGATCAGGTCCGAGTGGCGGTAGGCCGTCTCCGTCTCGGCTCGCAGGCGCTGCCGCGCCTCCGACTCCGGCGGACCGAGCGCCCTCGCGAGCGCCGTGCTGA